AACAGAGATGACTACGTTCAGAAAACTTCCCTCAACTTTACTGGCCATCGGCTGTCTGCTGACCACTATCAACAACAGCAGTGAAAACAGCATTTCAGCAACGGCCAGCTTCAGTCCGTTAAGTTTACGAATAGTCGGTGGCCACGATGCCCCCATCGACAGTGTGCCCTACCAGGTGGCACTCTACCTCAAAGAGGAGTTCTACTGCTCGGGCGTCCTCCTCTCACAGCGCACCGTACTGACGGCCGCCCAGTGCATTAGAGGGTACAGTAGCTCTTTGTATACCTTTTTTCTTTTCGCTCAAGCAAACTAACCATTTACCAACCATTTCAGCCACGAGCAGACGCCCCATCTCTTCAGCATTCGCTACGGCTCTCAGGTGCACTCTCAGGGCGTCCGCTCGGTGATCATTCGCCTGTTGCCGCACCCCAAGTTCACCCCCCGGCAGATCGAGTACGACCTGGCCATACTGCACCTTGCCCACCCGGTCATCGTCAGCCGGCACACCTTTCCGGCGGTGCTGGCGGAGAAATCGCCCCTCGTCGGCAGTTCCGTCCAGATCAGCGGCTGGGGAACGGTTCAACCGAAGGGCGCCTTCCCTCGAACACTGCAGGTGGCCAGCACACTGAAGGTAGTGCCCATCAAGGACTGCCGCGCAAAGTGGGGCCGCCTCTTTGATCTCTCCGGCAGTGGCATCTTCTGCGCGGAGAGTGCCACACAGAGCGCCTGTCACTGGGACTCTGGCGGGCCGGTGATGCAGGAAGAGCGCCTGGTGGGCGTCATCTCATTTGGCGCCAAGCGGTGCCTAGAGCAGGGGACGCCCAATGGATACGTGGACGTTTCCACTCACCGACACTGGATTATGGAGCACCTGCTTGAGTGACCAGACAAAAGATCAAAGTAAAAAAGAGCTACAACTACTAGTTTATTGCGCCCACCTGCTGGACAACCTCCTCCACTGTTGCGGTGCTCTGCGACTTCTGTACACTACAGGTCTTTCGGCAGACCAGCACCTGAACGGCAATAAAGGCTACAAGTGCTACACTAATTGACACTAGATCGACGTAGATGAGCACCGAAGGCAGCACGCCAATGTACGGGCCGATGATCAGCGGGCTAAAAACAGAGCCAATGCAGATGGAGATGAAGAAGAGCGCATTGAGGCGGTCATCGGCAGTCGTGTAGGCGTTCACGTAGGCGAACATTGACGAGCGGATCGGTGAGAGGGCGTAGCCGGCCAGGGCAGAGTTGACCGCCAGCCAGAGGCGGCACTGGGTGGCGCTCCAGAAGAAGGCGCCAAAGGCGAGCAGACAGAGGCAGAGGTGGACGTTGAGGATGGTGCCGCTGGAGAGCAGGCCAGAGACGGGCACCGACACCGCCCGACCGACGGTGTAGGTCACAGCGGTGAGGGTGGCAATCTCCGCCGCCTCCTGAGCGGTGATGTTCAGCCCTGGCAGCAGCTGCAGGTAGGTGTTCTGAAAGCTGATGTGCCCCAGCTCGCAGACGCTGAAGAAGGTGAAGATGACGATGAAGGCGAGCTTGAAGAGGGCTCGAGGCGCCTCGCTCTGGGCACTGTCCAGCAGCTTGGTGCAGCTGAGTGCGGTTTGGCAGCTGCTGTCGGACAGCTTTTTGCCGTTCACCAGATGGGGAGAAGGAGTGATCGTCTTGGCCGCTGCCTTCTTCTGGTACCGGGTAGCTTTCAGCAGATAGGTTATGAGGAAAATGAGACCAACTTGAGAGAATGGATTAGGTGTAGTCGAAACAGTTGAAACGTCCAGAATATGAAAATGAAAGTGTAACAAAAAATGATTAGCAAACTCTTTGCTCTGTTCTGAGCTGGCAGCCAGTAAAAGCACAACACCAGCAAATCAAGGCAGGGCAACTTTTCCTTGCCACACCGCCACCTCCTCCTCTCTCCTAACCTGTGCCTTCAATGCCTGCACAGAAGGCAAAGGGAATCGCCAGCCGTCCTCTTCTCTGCTCGACCTCCTCCTCGGTGAGCACCACCAAGTCGGCGTCCGACTTGGTCACCCCCGATAGGAACGGTTTGACGACCAGCGGGGCGGCCACTGCGCCCAGGCCAAAGGCAAACTGCTGCACCTGCAGCATAGAGGCCATCACCTTGGGCCGGTGGTTCCACAGCTCAATCAGCCAGGTGGTGCCGACGACGTTCCAGTTGGAGCAGCCGATGCCGCCCACCGTCACCAGCAGGTACAGCGTCCAGATGGAGCGGCCATAGGGAATGGCGCCAATGGAGAGGGCAAAGACAAAGACCAGCAACGAGGTGACCAGCTGCCGGTTGATGTACCGCTGAAGACTGGCCGACTTGTAGGCGACGCTGACTGATGATCAAATGAGAGAATGAGAAGAGAAAAAATTGGCAATGAAACAATAACAAGATGCAAATCACTGATAGAGTGAGTATATAAGAGAGCAGCAACAGCACTTACTGAAAGAGCCCAGAATGGAGCCCACAAAGTAGAAAGTGAACATCAGTGCTACTGACCGCAGCGAGACCAGGGCTCCGTCCTGCAGCAGCAGCAGGCGAATGTCAATCAACGCAGGGGCTATGATTCCCGCCAGAAGGCTCTAGAACGAAAGTAATTTGTATAATTTTAAAACTTTTTTAGCTTGAAAGAGAATTCAGTCTTTTTGACAGCTATACTAACAAAGGTAAACTGTCCTATAAATATGAGGACGCTGTACAGAATTTTGACGTTCATCTTGCAAACGCGAAAACGGCTCAAATTGTTGCTTTTTGCTGTTTAGAGTTTTGTTTCTCTTTAGCATGCTCGTTCGGCTCACTGGCGAGCTGAAGTCAGTCCAGTGACGTCTGGTCACCGTTCTGGCCATGGTGGCACGTATTTAAATATCTCGGGGGTCTCTTCTGTTATCCAGTAGAGAGAGAACGTTCTCGAGATTACTCGTAATTGGCAGGAGGCAAGTAAAAAGGGCAGTAAAAAAAAGTAAGTGATGATGAGCTGAACAACAACAACAACAGTTCAGTGCAAAGTCGGTGATGCTGGTAAAGCACTTCAGTGTTGTTGATGATGATGATGTTGCTATTGCTTCATCATCTTCTTCTTCTGCTGATGGTGGTGATGGTGCTGATGCTCTTGATGCTGATGCCGATGGTGATATTTTGGCGATATTCAGGCTCACAGTGAGAGCGGAAAAGGGCAGTCAGATAGAGGAATGCTCTGGAAAGTAGTGCACTACTTGTACACATGTGTGATGATGTCAGACCGAAAGGAAGAAATGGGATACTACTGGTGAAGTGCGTGTGAGAGTGCTTTGTGGGGCGGAGGACGTGGCTGTGTGCGCAGACACAGTCGATGTGTGAAACAATGTGTGCACTGATGAAAGAAAGAAAGAAAGAAAGAAGGAAGGCACAAACCAGTGCACATCATCTCACACAACGTCTCAATGCCTCTCCTGTTTACTTACTGTTTAGTAGTAAGTAGCATTGCTGAAACGTGCAAAAGAAGAAAGGCAGAAGAAGAAGAGAGGCATTGCCGTCACCAGCACCACCAGCAGAAACAGCAGAAGCAGCACCAGCAGTCGCACAGTTTCAGCAGCCTCAGCACCAGTGTCATTCTACAATGCCCCAGGCTTTAGGTCATTTTCAGTGCTGATAGACGGCGGCGAGGATCATCTGGTTCCACATCACTTTACCAAGACAAACACACACGGTGAAAGAGCACACTAAACACTAAACACACACAGAGATTTGTGTCTGCGTGTGTGTGTGTGTTTATTTGTCATATCACTGCTCATCTTGTGCGAAACGTGACTTGCGAGCTCTGGCTCTAGGGCAAGATCAGTTCAGTTGATGAGTTTGGGATGAATTTGCTATCTCGTTGTTTATTTTATTTTTCAAATTGTGACTGATTTTACTGTGAAGCTTGTAATTATTTTCATACTAATTTTGGTGTNATCACTGCTCATCTTGTGCGAAACGTGACTTGCGAGCTCTGGCTCTAGGGCAAGATCAGTTCAGTTGATGAGTTTGGGAGGAATTTGCTATCTTGTTGTTTATTTTATTTTTCAAATTGTGACTGATTTTACTGTGAAGCTTGTAATTATTTTCATACTAATTTTGGTGTTTTGAATTGGCTTTTACTAACATTTTTGTTTCAAAATGCCTTGTCCTACTTGTTTTACTCAATTTTTTAACTTTACTTTCTAAAAACAAAAACTTAAAAACATCAGTTTTTAGAGTGAGTCACTTTATGTGTCAAACAACTGCTGCTCTTTGATCTCTATCTTTATCTCAATGTCATTCCACCCAAAAAGTTTGGTCACGTTCTTTTGGATTAGGTCTCTAGTACTTTGTTTGCTAAAAACACAGCAAAATGAAAAAAAATAAATCACAAAAACATTTTTTCCTCATCCACTATGTTTGTTTTATCATTACGGAAAAAAGAAAAGCAAAAGTTGGCACTTTTCTTGACTAATTGCCAGTCTTAATGTCAAAAGAACATCGCTAGCAGCGATAACGGACAGTGGACGTGCAACATACAAGCAAGCCTTACACAGGCGCAAACAAACTCGCTCACACCAGCTGGACACAAACGGCCTTATGCATTATTATTATGATGCTGATTATGAAACTGGTGATACTGCTTGTCAGGCAAAGATGGTCTGCGATTGATAGACAGTTAGTTAGTACATTCGGTGCCATTTAGGTCGATTCAAGGAGGAGGACACTGCTGGAAAGGAGCAGCGAAAAGTCAATTGCCTTTGTCCACTTTTTGCATACCATTTGCATACGTACCACTTTTTATCCGTTTGCATAATCGAAAGTTTCTTTGGCGAACTTTTTTTACCAGTAACTTGTGTACCCTGTTCAAACTCTAAGGGAAATTCAAAATCATTCGACACCGGCTGGCTAATTATCATGTTGACACTGTCTTGCTCAATTATTATTCTTTCCCGTCACCTCATTATCATGTTTTGTTGCACTTGGCGTATGCTGATTTCTGCCGTGAAACACTAGCTTGGGGTTAATGAGTGCACTCAGAAATGGGGAAGATGGTGAATCTTTTCTCTTTGAGGGGCACCGGATCCTGATAAAGGATAACGTTTAGTGCATTGATGGGATGACAAAA